GTTAAAGCAGAAATCTAAGCATATACTACAGAGAAAGCCATTCTGGAGAAACAGAGGGCAGGTCTGAGGTACTTACAGAACTTGACTGGCACATCAGAAGCAAGCTCTGGATCTCATCTCACAGATCAGCTGAGCACTTTCAGAACTATCTGCCTCAAAATTGTGTCCCCATCTCCCCCGAGCCTCCCTAGCCCTCCAGAAAAGTCTTTATTATGGTGCCTACCACATTCCCCAATAAGTACTTGTGAGCAGGCAGAAAGCCCTGGATAATATGATACATCCATTAAGTGTAAAATAAAAAAAAAAAAAAAGGAATGGTAGGATCAAGGAAATTGAGTTATTTATGACTAGGAACACCCTATTATTTGTCAAAGATCTATGTTCCAGGCATTGTATAGGGCAGAGGGAAATAACTGTAACCTACCAGGAGCTCTCCATCTAGAGCAGAAAGACAATTCAGTCCATGATCCCACCACCATGTGCTACAAGTGAAGAAGGGGCACCCAACTTGTGGACAAAGACAGGAGCAAAAAAAAATCCTCTTTTCTAACCCAGAATTCATTGTTCAGTATAAGTTTTGATACATATAAGAAGGAATATGGCATTCCCTGAGATAGTTTAAAGTGATGGGGGTTGGCAGGGCACAAGCGACTAACAGCAATAATCAGAACCTTGAATTTCCCACTTGAGGTATTTCCCACTGAGTACCCATAATCCCAGCACTCTTGAGAGGCCTAAGTGAGAGCACCAGAGGTCAGGAGTTAAGACCAACCTAGGCAATGTAGCCATACACTTGTCTCCATAAAAAATAAAATATCTACTGAGATGTGGTAGCATGTGTTTGTCATAGTTACACAGGAGGCAAGAGAATTGCTTGAGCCCAGGAATTCGGGGTTACAGGGAGCTATGATTAGTATTCTAATTTCATGTTGACATATTAAGACAGATTTTTTTCTTTCTTAAAGGCCTTTATCTTGTGTTGGTATTGTCATAACCCTCTACTGTGTACTATTCTTGAAAGTGATAGCCTTAGGAACTAATATGATTTGAATGTATTTGTTTTTCCAAGAGGGTGACAGACTAAGATCTATCAACTCTAAAAAGACCCTAAAGTAACTTGCTTGAAGAAATTAGATCCCAGAGATTCTTGGTGGGCAATTCAAATTTTCATCAGTATGTCCACATTCAAGTGGAGATAAAAGAAGCCAAAATAAAAGAAAAAGAATCATGGCAAGCAACTTTTGGGCTGACAGGACAACTGTGGATTGAGGATCTAGTCTATTAAAAAGGGCTCACTTGAAGGTAAGTCCCCAGTTACTCCAACCACTGAGGCACTAAGACTACCCTTGATGGACGGTGGAAGGAATCACAAGTGAAATTCCTTGAATAAAAATTTATTAATTTTGCCTAATGCCATAATAACTGTTTTAAGGGTGAAGGGCACCAAAAGAGTATCAGGTACATTTCACCAAGATAAGCAAGAACACTGCTGTCTTTGTGTTTATTACTGAAGTAAGCTGTAGAAGACATTAGAAAACAAAACTCCAATCTCCAGACTAAACACATTATTACACCTAAATTCCACAGGAGGAAGTGAGATTTGGATAAAAAGTACCCTTGTCAGGCAGCACCTGTGGCTCAAGGACTAGGGCGCTGGCCCCATATGCCAGAGGTGGGGGCTTCAAACCTGGCCCTGGCCAAAAACTACAACAAAAAACAAACAAAAGTACCCTTGTCTTAGGCTTTCAAAAGGAATCTTGGCCAAAACCAAAAACAGGGACCAGATATTCCAATAAAGTAAAACTAAACAAAAAGGACCCAGGATGGAAATGAACCCCTCTCAGAGGGGGCTTACCTGATCAAACTTGTTCACATCATTGGACAACAGATTGACTATCTGGCCTGTGGTTGTCTTCCCCATGGCCATGTTACTAAGACAAAGTGCCTGAAATAAAAAAAGGGAAGGAAAGAATGTTACTCCTATGGAGACACTACGTCACCCTGAGCAAACAGCAGACTCAAGACATTTTCACGGAGTCTTGTGATGCAAAGACGAGGCTGACCCAGCAGTAGAGCTAAGGAACAGCATTTCTCCTTCAGCATCTAACCCAGCAGGGACTGTGCCCTGCCAGGACAGCAAAGGGAGGAGCAGAAAAATCCCCCAACTTATTTTTAAATAAATCTGGACCTGCCACAAGTACAAGAATATTTACATTTATACTTAAGAGCCAACCAAAGGAATTTTGAGGCAAGTTAGATAGATGAGAGTAGAGAGGCTGTCAAAGAAATAAAATGAAGAGACTAGGACTCTAAATCTGGGGTCAATCATTGACTATGTGACATCACTTAAACACATGAGGTCAGGAGGAGGGGCAAGATGGCCCGGAGCCAGCTTTCAACAGAAGCTCCTGTCCAGAAGGAAGGATAATGACCAGAAAGCACCCAATAAGGCTGAAGGCTGGGAGCCAAGCTGAGAGAGAAGAGTGATAACTGCACATCACCCCTGCTGAGGCAAGCTGTGACTCCAAGAAAGCAAATTTCAGCTGAGACTTCAACCCAGAGTCACTGATCCACTAGGTTCGGACAAAGACCAGCTGAATACAAGACAGAGCCACCTAATCCCACCACACCAAGCCGGTCCCGAGAGCCTCAGACTGTAATATTATATGGGTCCTTTGCAAAACTGTAGGGGAAAAGCTACAGTCACCAGTCCCAGATCCTAGGCAAAGGGCTGGTTAACCACAATTCCAGGAGCCCCCCCCCCCATCCAATTTCACCTTACCTGCCCATCTAGCCAAACAGTAAAAAATAATCATGGCGAGGAATCAGAGAAAAAATTCTGGCAACATGAATAATCAGAGTAGATCAACTCCCCCAAGAAATGACAAGACAGACACACCAGATGATCCCATTGATAAACAAATGGCTGAGATGTCAGAAATCAGTTTCGGAATTTGGATGGCAAATAAGATCAATAGAACGGAGGTAAAGATGGAATTAGAATTTCAAGGAATAATTCAAAAGTTGTCTCATGAATTCAATTAATTCAAAGACAAAATCACCAAAGTTTTTGACACATTGAGGCAAGAACTTGCAGCCCTCAAAGATCTGAGAAATACAGTAGAAACCCTCAGTAACAGAATTGAGCAGGCAGAAGAAAGGATCACTGACATTGAAGACAAAGCTTTTGAATGCTCCCACATGCTCAAAGAGGAAGAGAAGTGGAGAGCAAAAACAAACCATTCCCTGAGAGAATTGTGGCACCAATCCAAAAGAGCAAACATTCACCTTATAGGAATCCCTGAAGGAAAAGAGGTTGCTTCAAAAGGCCCAGATGCTCTACTCGAAGAGATAATAGAAGAGAACTTCCCAAACATGGCAAGAGATTCTGAAATCCAGATAGTAGACAGTTTCAGAACCCCAGCATGAGTCAATCCAAATAAAACATATCCTAGACACATTATAATTAACTTTGCCAAACTTAATATGAAGGAGAAAATTCTGCAAGCAATCAGACATAAGAAAACCATAACCTACAAGGGAAGAATATTAGAATGACTGCAGATCTCTCTGCTGAAATTTTTCAAGCTAGAAGAGGATGATCAACCCAGGATCCTGTATCCAGCTAAACTGAGTTTCATTTATGATGGAGAAATGAAATACTTTAATGACATTCACATGTTGAAGAAATCTGCTATAACACCAGCTCTCCAGGATATTCTCAGACCCATCCTCCACAATGACAAGCACAATGCTCTACCACCAAAGCAAACTCACTCAGAATATTTTGATCAAACTCCAACTTCCACAATGGTGAAAGGATTAAAAATGTCCACTGGACTTCTGAAAAACTCGATACCCAAAATACTACCAGGCTTCTCAATATTCTCAATTAATTAAAGTGTCCAGCATAGGTTAGCTGATTAGATACAAAAACTCAGGCCAGGCCCGGTGCCTGTGGCTCAAGTGGCTAAGGCATCAGCCACATACACCTAAGGTGGCAGGTTTGAATCCAGCCCAGGCCCGCCAAATAACAATGATGGCTACAATCAAAAAAACAGCCAGGTGTGGTGGTGGGCGCCTGTGGTCCCAGCTACTTGGGAGGCGGAGGCAAGAGACTCACTTGAGCCCAGGAGTTGGAGGTTGCTGTGAGCTGTGATGCCATGGAACTCTACTCATGGGGACAGCTTGAGGCTCTGTCTCAAAAAAAAAAAAAAAAAAAGAATCTTGTCTTACCTTAAAAGTTAAATATAGACTCAAGTTGAAGGGATGGTCATTTATAATTCAGGCAAATGAAAATTAGAAAAAAGCAGGTGTTGCAATTTCATTCCCAGATACAATAGGCTTTAAACCAACAAAATTAAAGAAAGATAAGGATAGTCATTTCATATTTGTTAAGGGCAACACTCAACATGATGAGATTTCAATTATTAACATTTATGCACCCAGCCAGAATGCACCTCAATTTATAAAAGAGACTCTAATACACATGAGCAACTTGATTTCCTCCAACACCATAATAGTTAGAAATTTTAACACTCCTTTGGCAGTGTTGGACATATCCTCCAATAAGAAACTAAGCAAAGAAATTTTAAGACATAAACTTAACCATTCAACAATTGGATTTAACAGACATCTACAGAACATTTCATCCTAACTAAACTGAATACACATTCCTCTCATCAGTCCATGGAACATCCTCCAAAACTGATCACATCTTAGGTCACAAGTCTAAACTCAGCACATTTACAAGAATAGAAATTATTCCTTGTATTTTCTCAGACCACCATGGAATAAAAATTGAACTCAGTAACAACAGGAATCTTATACAAAGTCATGGAAACTAAATAACCTCATGCTGAATGATAGCTGGGTCACAGATGAGATTAAGAAGGAAATTACCAAATTTTTGGAACAGAATGATAATGAAGACACGAATTACCAGAACCTCTGGGATACCGCAAAGGCAGTCCTAAGGGGTAAATTTATAGCTTTGCAAGCCATCCTCAAAAGAACGGAAAGAGAGGAAGTCAACAACTTAATGGGACATCTCAAGCAACTGGAAAAGGAAGAAAATTTCAACCCCAAACCCAGCAGAAGAAAAGAAATAACTAAAATTAGAGCAGAAGGCAGGAGAATTGCTTGAGCCTAGGAGTTGGAGGTTACTGTGAGCTGTAATGCCATGGCACTTTACCCGGGGCAACAGCTTGAGGCTCTGTTTCAAAAAAAAAAAAAGGAAGAAAAAATACCCAGTCTACTCAGTACTATTATGAAACCAATTTACAATCGGTCACACTTTCACATGAATAATAGGTCACAACTGTGCCCCAGGATGAAGGGAGGGAATAGGACAGAAGGGGGAAGGTAAAATCGAGGGAGGGTGATTGGTGGGATCACACCGTATAGAGTATAAATGTCTTAACACAATAATTAAGTAAACATGATGACATACATATTAACCAGTATGATGTAAGCGTTCCTAATTGCATATGAAATCAGCACACTGTACCCCACTGAGCCACAGGTGCCGCCTAGAAAGAACATTTCTTAAAATGATAGAGGCCATCTACAGCAAACCCACAGCTAATATCTCAATGAATGGAGTAAAACTGAAATCACTTCCACTCAGATCAGGAACCAGGCAAGGTTGCCCATTGTCTCCACTGCTTTTTAACATTGTAATGCACGTCTTAGCCATCACAATCGGGCAAGAGAAGGCAATCAAGGGTATCCAAATAGGATGAGAGGAGATCAAACTGTCACTCTTAACAGATGATATGATTGTATATCTGGAAAACCCCAGGGACTCAACTACAAAACTCCTAGAAGTGATTAAGGAATACAGCAGCATCTCAGGATACAAAATCAATACTCACAAATTGGAAGCCTTTATATATACCAACAATAGTCAAGATGAAAAACAATCAAGGACTCTATTCCCTTTACAATAGTGTCAAAGAAGATGAAATATCTGGGAGTGTACCTAACAAGGGACATGAAAGATCTGTATAAAGATCTGTATAAAGAGAACTATGAAACTCTGAGAAAAGAAATAGTTGAAGATGTTAACAAATGGAAAAACATACCATGCTCATGGCTGGGAAGAATCAATATTGTTAAAAATGTCTATACTACCCAAAGCAATATACAGATTTAATGCAATCCCTATTAAAGTACCTCTATCATACTTTAAAGATCTGAAAAACTTAGTACTTCATTTTATATGGAAACCAAAAACTTCCAATAGCCAAGACATTACTCAGAAATAAAAACAAATCAGCTCGGCACCTGTGGCTCAAGTGGCTAAGGCGCCAGCCACATACACCTAAGG